ACACTAACCCTAATACTAATTGACGGTATTTTTTTTAAAAAAAAACAAATACATATCGAAATCATATATATAAACAACGACGATCATTTCCATTTTGGGCGGGGGGGGGGGGGGTACATAGATGTATCCGGCTTTAGACGACCCCCAAAAAGGGGTGTGGAAATACCAATTCCCAAAAAATCAAAATATTCTAATAATTCTAATGGTGATATTAAATTTGACCTCGTATATCGAGATATGTGCGTTTTACATTTCACGACTATAAAATTTCATTGCAAAGAAAATTTTATAGTCATGAAATGTAAATAATGATTTTACCACCATAAGAATCATTGGAATGTCCTCTACAACTTTTATTAGAAGCAAAAGGCGATTTGCTTAATGAAAAATCGAATTCGAACCATATAAATAATTATTTGTTATCACATATCAACATAATTGTCTAATTCAAAATGGGTTGATATTGACGGAGGTCACCCGTATATGAGGAATTTTAATATACGGAAATTTGTTCTATAGTTTAGGTTGAAATTAACGTTAACGGAAGGTTGATATTAACGAGGTTGATATTAACGGGTCACCTGTAGTATTCTAAAAAAAATTTTTTAAACCACACTATAAAATTTTCAAATATTAACATGGCCAGGTTATGAAAACAATTTTTATTGATCTTTTTATTAGTAACATTAATTTATATTAGATTTAATTTCATAGTTGAAACGAACCTAATAAAATTAGAACGAATATCACCAATACAGAAAACAAATAATAACCTGTCTAATCAATGCTTAAAATCTTTTTCAGCTTGACTATTAAAGCCCATTCTTCGTTGCTTACATCATTTCGAAATGATTCCTTTAACACGTTAATAGATTGGCGTGAAATCTTTAAAAAAGACGCAATATGTGAAATTTAGACGACTTTTATGTCTTAAAAAAAGCATACAGTAAGTAAAGATATGAAAAACTCACTCTACTATATAACTCATCACTTTCGGTAAAATGCCTTCCAAACATCTTTGGGGTTTCATACCCTGGACACTCCAATTTAATTGCAACACCGCCACCGGACCGACCTTTTTTAATAATATCTACCGATTTGTGATTCTGCTCCATGCTTGCGACTTTACCAAGACTTATAATTTCTCGCGTCTACGATCGTGTATTGTTATTTATTTAGGATATCTAACTCATTTCTTGTTTAAAAACAAAAACAAAAACAAAACCTTAGTTTCGGGGTCTGTTTTTACGACACATATGGGAGTTCCGGTTCTTAAAACACCTTCAACAACATCAACACCTAGGATTATAGGATCTCTTTTATTAAAGATGGCTCCAGGTACAATTTTAAGAACACAAGGAAAAACAGCCTGGGGTGCTTGATCTTTTCTCTTTTGCTCCAGAATATCCTATTAAGTAAAAAAAAAAAAAAAATATATATATATATATATATGTATGTATATATATATATATATAAATAATAATATATTCAGTTACAATAGGTCAAATTAAGGAAATGTATGATCGTCGATACTAAGAACAGACCTTGTTGTACGCTGTAAATTGATCAAACAAATGATAAATAATATCTGCTTCAAAAATTTTGATTCCCAGTTCTTTTGCCAAATCTTGTGCTTCTTTTTCAACTTTAACATCAAAGCACAAAATAACAGCAAGCCTAAATTATATAATAAAGAATTTAATACGCGCATGATTGTATTTATAATGGTAGCGCTTTCTTCAATACTTACTCCCTAACTTTTTCTAGCATAGTAGCTGCGCGCATGACGTCTTTTTTATGTACGGGGCCAATGTTTATACCCGACACTGGGATCTTTGATACTCTCAAGAATTCCAAAAGTGCTTCTAGAGAACCCAATGTGGATGCCTGCACACATACACCTCTGCCTGACTTATCAACGGAGTTCAACAAGCTCGTTAGATCTGACATTATTTCTTCCTTGAGTTCGTCTTCATCATCGTCAGGCCCACAAACCATAAGTCGAGAACCTGCGATCGCTTTCTCAAGGTCTTGCGCTGAGATTTTAACACCAAGTGCAGCTTTCACACTTTTATGATGAACATATGCAGACTTAACACGAAGTTCTCTCAATGGCTGTGGTGTTAGCAATGCACGAATGGTTGTAACGATAGGCCCATTAAGACCACAAAGAACAATTTTATCGCCCTCGTTTAAAACACCATTGGAAAGAACGACATCGATGGTCGTACCAAGGCCTTCAATCACTTTAACTTCCAAAACTGTGCACTCCAATTCAGATAAGTACATTAATTTATCGCTCATCCTAGTTTGAGTTAGGTTGACTAATAGCATGAGCATATCAGGGATACCCTCTCCAGTAATAGCGGATGTCGGAACAAGTGAAACGTTTTTAGCAAAATTCTTATTCTCATAGTAAAGGCAAGAATTTAATCCCTAGAAATTAACATCAAACATCAATTTTATTATACAAACTATATATATATCGTTTATAAACTATATAT